AGGGGGGGGGTGCTATCCATCGTCATCAGCTAGAGGGGGAAAAAAAAACGTTGAAAAATTCCCAGGCTGGTGCTGCTGCTGCTGATTGTTTGAACAGGACGCTTCCGCCACCGCTTTAGATAACAGCAACAGCAGCAGCAGCAGAGGCGACACACCCTCTAGCCCACAATGAGTGTAGAGAGGTGCACAGCACAGCAGTGGTACTACATCGTCTAGGAACGAGCGTGATGTGTTACTGGTTCCGTGCTGTGATGTATGTGTGCCTCTCTCCAGAGCAGAAGCCGCTCCCTCCCGCCGCGTCGCAACACAAAAACAACAACCAACCGATGGACCCACAGAGACCCAATCAATATCTCTCCTCTCGCTTCCTCCGCCGAAAGCTAGCAGCAGCAGTAGTATAGGGCACACCCTGCTCCCGTCCCGCTCTCGCTGTGTGGTGTGTGCAACACACGCTGGTTGGTGGGACTCCCTCTCTCTCCAGAGAAAAAAAGGCGAAAAAAAGGCCGGCAGCGTTGAACAACAACAAACAACGGACGGAAACAACAACAACAACATCATCAGCGATGAACCCCAGACCAACCAAACGTTCCCCGCTTCCTCCGCCGTCGCTAACAGCAGTATGTGTGTGTGTCCCGCCCCCCTTGTCCATGTTCTCTGTCTCTGTGTAGTGCGTGTCTTGCCAGTAGCAGCAGCAGTGTGTGCAGCACGGCAGTGCGTCGTGGTTTCTTGCGTGCGTGTAGTTTGTTGCCCAAAAAACAGAAATGACGCCTCCCGGCCGAGAAGTCGGGGATGCGTCCATGTGACATATATATTTGCACAAACGGTGTGCTTTCTCGAGACACCGACCACGGATTGCAAAGGTAGCGGTTGGGACAGCTCGGGCAAAATGTTACTTGTTGTGCGCAAGTTTTAGTTTGCAATTTGGTGCCGAGATGGTGAAATGGGCTCGAGTCTGCTGGGTTACTTAGGGCGCGCAGACAGACAGACAGACAGACAGACATCAGACAGCCATTGCGTTTTTTTCATGCCCCTGGGCATGAAAATTATTCTTTTTCTCGTGCGCACATACTCCACACACGATCCCTTTGAACAGCTTTTTTTTGCAAAACAAAAAGCGTACCCCTATACGGTCCACTCTTTTCGCAAAAAAAAAACTACTAGAATTGGAGGTGGAATAGTTTTTTGTCTCCCATCATTGAACTCTGTCGTCTGCCCCTCTGGCCCCTATCCTTCACTTCTACCAGCTAGACGACCCAACCGGGGTCACATAGGAGGGGGGGTTGGATCCCCTCCTGCGGTTTCTGCCTGAGATATTGTTATCGCGAGAAGGGTACAGCAATCCCTTCCCTCGCGACTCATGAAGTCGATCAAGTTTACTAACAGCGAGCTTTGCAGCGCGTCGCTTCCAACGGAGACCAGGATGTTTTTAGCGAGAAATAACTCACTCTGTCGGGACTCGAACCCATGACTTGGCCCTTAGCAGGCTGCGAGGATACCCACTAGACCACTGCGGCGACCGGGTAATATATACACCCATGGCGCACAGGTGGTACAGGCCCGGCCCCTCGTGGTTTTCATAAATAGATGGCTGGTCTCGGATAAGCGTCCTGTTGTTCTCCTTCTGCTGTTGGGGTGTTGTCCTGCCGGGGTTTGAACTCTACTATCTGTTCACTTCTGAGCAAGAAGAATAAATACGCGCTCTTCGTCACACCGGTTTGGTCGTGCTTCGGCAACAGATGGCAGTGCTTCACAGCCGTATGTGGCCCAATTTCGTAGGAGATCGCATCCCCGCATGCCCAGGAGTTGTGGAGAGGTAAAATGCCCGAGCTATCGGAGATTGCACACACACGAGGCGTTGTGTCAGTTGAGATCAGTTATCAGGCCGGGGGGGTAGAAGGACGGCTGAATAGCTTGGTCAGCGGAGCACTCCTCACTTCGGAATACACAACGTACAAACAGAGCAACACTGCTGTTACATCTACTGAAGTACTGCAGCGGTACATTGTGTCACTACCATCACAGTTACATGTCACCCTTCGTTGCAAACCAGCCACGGCGGTACAGACACAACAGTGTTTCGAGGTGCGGCCGCGGCCGCAGTCGCAAGCAAACGTCGCCCGAGGGAGACAAGCCAGGACTACAGCAGTACACAGCAGATGTAGGTCTTATGGCCTTGTGGATCTTTGTGGCGTGTTTCGTTTTGACTCTTAACCTGAGCCCTGCCGGCTGCGGGTAGCGGCGTCTTCCGTGTAATTTAATTATTTGATATTATTTTATCAACATGAATTTTTCAATTTTTCGTGATGCCACTGCAGTTGCACGGTAGCCTTCAGCTTGGGGCTGAAAATCCCATTACTATACAGCAACATAACATGCGTGGCTAACCCGGGTGCCTTGGTTTTGTGCCTGATCGTGGAAGACCCCTTCAATGTGGAACGATTCTTAGCTAGTGTCGATATTTTTCACTGCAGTGCCTAACACAGACGATCGGGAGAGATTCGGGTGATTGTCAATTGCTGCTATGATGGCATTGGTTGGTTGTTCTTTTTCACTGTACGGCCGGAGACACATTCTGACAGAACTTCAGACAGCAGCTTTGTGCCCCGCCAGCTGCTTGTTCCATGCCTACCATGGTGTTTGTACAGACAGCACATCAGACAGCAGTATGCTGTAGTCGGCAATCTTCCGTTTTGGTATAGAGTGGGACACGGAGGGGGTGATGCTACTGTAGTCGAACGGTGGGACGGACGTGCAGTTCAGTTTTTGGGCACGCATACGGTGCTGCAGGGATTTGTAGGTGTACCTCTTCGGGCTCTTGGACACCTTTTCTCGTTATATGTGTGCGTGTTCTTTATATCCTCAGATGGCTCTAGCATTTCGCAATTGACATACGGTTTAATGTGAAGACAACACCAACAAAAACAATTACACTTCGTATGCTGGGGTGACACAGGCAGACAAGCAATTTTGCTTTGCTCTTCCAAGACATATCGCTTCACGACGGATCACCCCAACTCACAGCACATATGTTCCCTGCGAAGCCACGAGATCTTCCAATATTAATGTGCATACTTCAAATTACTGCTGTAGGCAGCAGTCCGCACAAGGCACCAACCTGCTCCATCTTGAGCACCGAGGCGTAGATCGCGGGCAGCTCCCCATGGCAGCACCCTTCCACTACGATGTTCAGCTTACGCCTTCCAGCAGGCGCCGCCATACCTTTTTCGTCCCTCGCTCTTCTCTCGCGGCAAGCAGTGCGAGACCAAGCAGTGGCCGTGTGAGATACGCAGGGGTGGCAGTATACCGGAGGGCGCGTTGGGGGTACTTGGTTTGGGGGCTCCGTGATAGCAACGGCGAATTTGAATAACGGACGCGCCGCCATCTCAGTAGTCGTAGTCAGTAGCTCGCAGCAGGCACAACACACAGTCCGCGCGGAGACAGCGGGACAGACAGGGGTACGTACCCTGACGCCCTCACGTGCATGAGTCATGGGGGTGTTAGCCTGAGTGACGAGAAAGACGGCGGTGTTCTGAACCTGTCGGCGACATCAACAGCGGGAGGAGATGCCAGGACCAGCGTCGCTTTCGACTACACGGCGGAATCGCTCGCGTGCCACGACAGCCCTTCGGGCACGTGCGGCTTCTTGTACACGGCACCGTCGCCGTCGTCGACTGCATCGTCGTGCTCTGTCCGGCTCATTGCAGATTCAGGAGGCCGCACAAGTGGGAGTAGAAACAATGGTTCGCTCGTCAGTGCGGCGAGATCTCCCTCCGTTGTCGGAAAAGGCCAGAGCTTGGAGTGGGGCGGCGGCGGCGGCAGCAGCAGCACGAACGGTGGCAGCACGAGCAGTACTCCGATTAGACAGCAGCCAGAGCCCGCCGTGGGAGGACAGGTATTCCCTGCAACGACAGCTGTTGCTGTTGGTGCTGCCTGCACTGCGTCTAGTCCAGCCTTTCGGCGGTCGGCGATACGACGTGAGCAACAACCTGCAGTCCCGCCGCGGCCGGCAGCACTCGCCGACACGCCACGAGACACTCCGACGGCCGACGGGGCGCTGCTCTGCCGTGCGCCTAGTGTCTTCGGCAAGAAGCCCAACGCGGAAGTGTTGACGCCGCCAACGGTAGTAGGGGGGGCGAGAGCGGGGGTGGCGGCAGGCGGCGGCGGCAGCGATGGCCTGTTCGTCGCCCTCCTGGACAACATCAGCCTGTCTCAGATCTTGCCTTCCCAAGGGACTCAGGGAGGGACAGCAGGGACTCAGGAAGAGTACGTCATCGGCGAGCGACACGCCGCCGACCGCAGCGGCAGCGGCAGCAGCGAAATCAAGCCAGCCAGTCCGACCGGTGGGGGGGNGGGGGGGGGGGGGGGGGGGGGGGGGGGGGGGGGGGGGGGGGGGCGCCTAGCGCCGAGGAGGCGATTGGAGCTCGGCAACGGCGGGCGGGTTCATCGGTGGCGGCTTCTTCGCGCAGCGGCGCCGACGCTTCTCAAGAGGGAGGCCTCTGGAGCAGGTCTAGGCTCGGACTCCTCGGGAGCCTGGCGCTTCGAGACTCGGAGGAGGACGACGCGGACCTGAATGTCGGCGAACACGACGCCGCTAGCAGATTAACACCTACCGTTCACTGCTCTCCCGACGGCGAGTCTCGCGACAAACAGCAGAAGCACCACCGGCAGCAGTCGCTGACACCGCAGCATCCGTGCTTGGCAGAAGCCGAAACCTTTGGAAAGATTGGCCCCGCTCTGACGCCCGCGGCAAGAGCGGACGCTGACTCTTCCTCTGTTTCTCCCCTCCTCCTACTCCTCCCTCCGGCCTGTCCGATTGCTACCAACCCTGGTCCCGCCGCTTCGATGGTGGCTACCTCCTCCGCGTACGCAGCGGCGAAGGACACCGGCGATTGCGTGGAAACGGCGCCGTCCGAGAGACACGCCGCCGAAGCCCTGCGGACGGCAGCTGCGTCGCCGCTGCTTCGCGTAACATCTCCGGCGCAACAGAGGCGGTCGGACGCGGGGTTGTCCTCAACCCTAGGCTCATTGAACGCTCCGAGTGCTGCTGTGGCTGCGGCAGCGGGGGCTGCAGTCGCAGACGAGGGTGACGCGCAGCATGCGGCGGCCGCGGGGGCCGCGGCCGCGGCGGCTGATGGCGAGGTTTCGAGCGAGAAAGATCTAGCAGCAGGCGGTGGAGATGCGTCCGCTGGGTTGAAAAGCTGCGGAGCAGCCGGAGTGGCGGTGGCGGGGCGTGAAGTGACGGGGGGTGGCGTGGATGGGAATGGGCGCGAGGACAGCCCCGCGGTTTCTACGGTGTCGTCTTTCAACCTCGACTTATCGTTGACGCCCGAGGTAAGGATAAACCCGACCTCCCAACGCAGCAGAGCGGAGCAGCGCCTTTTGCTTGTCTGTATTTTGGTGGCTTAGTCTGGGTACGCGCTGTGTCGGGCTTTCTGAGGCTGCACCGTAGAGCTATGTCGTTGAGAGAGCGTTAGTTTCGAGGCGCCGGAATTGCTTCGTTTTTTGCACGGCACTCTCGCGTGCACCGACCACATTTCCTTGGAACGTTTCGGGGCAAGTACGCGGCCGCCTCTGGTGACCACCGGACACGTACCCATGTTACCTCGAAAGGTCAAGCAGCACCTCGGGGGCGGTTTCTCACCGAGCAACAAACCATAACACGTGTTTGTTTCCCGATCCCTCCTCCTCCCTTTCCTCCACAGTGCGGAAGAACGGCTGCCGCGGGGGCGACCAAGCCTCCTCCGGCCCAACCATCGGTCCGAGACAGCACCGACTCCTGCTTGTCTAGCCTTTGCTTGGACCTGCCATCCTCCGTCCCACCGAGCAGCAGCAAGAGGGACTCAGCGGCGCATACCATGTCCCCGCCCTCGGGGGGGCTCATGGGTCAGACCGCCGCCGCTGCCGCTGCCGCCCCCCAACCCCGAGAGGACTCCGGCGCGCAGAGTCGGAGCGGGGGCACTAGGGGTGGCAACATCGGTAGCTGCAGCAGCCACGGCAGGAACAGCGTAGCCGAGAGCGATAGCCCCTGGTCCCTCAGAGCGCTGTCGTCAGAGGAGCTATCCCCCGTCAGCCCTTACCAGGGGGGCCGTTGCTCGCCGGCTGCTGCCCCCACCAGTGTACCACCGGGTCCACCCTCATCGACTCGCAAGTCTGTCGGTGCCATCGAAGAAGAAGGCGGTAGGGCGAGAGGCGGCCAGGAGGGCATGCAGAGAGCGGCAGCCGCAATCCAGCTCGTTGATCGTGACGATCACGCTGGCGGCAGTGCTCCCAGGAGGAACAGGGCAGGGGACCGGCGTCGAGCGGGGCGGTTATGCGCTTCAACGGTCTCGGGGGAGACGCCGGGAGGCGGTCATGAGAAAGGGGTTGCGTCCTGCTCACGTCCTCGCGAGGGAGGTGTTCCGTGCACCGCCGGGGGAAGCGCACCAGCGCTAGCAGCACAGGGAGCAATAGGAGGAGAGGGAAAGCTGCCGGAGCCGGGGGCCGACGAGGAGGACGAGGAGGAGACGGAGGACGTGTCGCCGAACACCACTGCCGCCGCCGCCGCCGCCGCTGCCGTCGTTGCTACGCCTCGCGCAGATAGTTGCCTCGCCGGCTCGGACGCCGTTAAGGCTTGGGGTGTGACGGGCGATCTCGGAGACCTAGATAAGCGAGAAGTCGACGGCAGGCGCAGCGATGGGCCAGCCTTCTCCCGCTCTGCAGGCACGGGGCACGCGGAGGGCACCGTTGCGCTCTCTGGCTCCGGCTCGACAGGTAGCGGCGGCGGCGGCGGTTGTGGTACACGGGTCGATTCGAGGAGCGGGGAGGTGGCGGCGATTCCGACGGGACCCAGTGTAAGATCAGAAGCGGTGACGGCAATCACCCACCCTGTTGTGCGTTCGGTCGGGGCCGGATTTCAGAACGGTGCCGCCGCTTGGGCAACGCCGAGTCAGAATCGTGGCAGTAGCAGGAGCAGCAGCGTCGAGATGGTGTACTTCACCGACGGGGCTGCCGCCAAGAAACGAACCAACTGGGCCGCCGGGGTGTGCGGTCGGGGGGAACTCTTGTCCTATCCCGGGGAAGGAGGAGAGACATTCAAGAAAGCGGTAGGAGCGGGGGGTGTCGACAACGACACCGCCCGGGGGGAGGAAGTCTCCACCGCCGGTGAGGGGGATCCTGCGGCCGAACCAGCGGGGAGAGAATCAGAAGGGCTTGCAGGGGAAGGTGTACCTGGTAAAGCGGCGGCGGCCGCGGAGGGAGAGAGTGGCCCGCCGCCTCATCGCTCCCCGCGTCCGGCGGCTAAGGGGCCCAGACGGGCGACGACGTCGTCGACCAGCGCGCAGCAGCTGGTGTTCACGAGCGAGGAGGAAGAAAGCGGCGGGTCCTTGGCGGTCAGGAACAACGCCAGGGATTCTACTCTTGCCACCGACCCGAGCCCCGTGAAGTTCTTGGCAACGCCGCCGCCTTCAGCTTCCGTGGCAGTCGATCGGTGCGGCGAAGGCTCATCCCTGGCGCCGAGCAAGGAGGCTGGTCCAGACGCGCGCTTGCGGGAACCTCCACCGTGTGAGCTGCGTGCGGGAGATGGGGCAGGGGAGGCGTCGAAGGATAAAGCCGGCAGAGGCGGCGGCGGGAACAATGCTCCCGATGGCAGACAGCGAGACGGCGGTGGAGTTGCGGCAGCGACATCCTTGCCGCCGCGGGTACCGGCGGCGGCGGCAAGGACGGCGGTGGCAGACAAAGTCGACGGTCTTCCCGGACACTGCCTGTCCCGGCTCGGCCTCTCGACGGACGCGCACACCTCTGGAGCAGATGTGACCGGAGCGGTCGTCTCAGCCACAGCGGGGGGTTCTAAGGCTGTGGGCAGAGACGGCGCGCCTTCTCCTCGTTGCGCTACGCGGGCCGGCAAGAGGAAGGCGCGACTACCACCGAAGGAGACGGGGGCAGCCTCCTCGGCGACTTCGGCCGCCGCTCCCGCCGCGGCTCCGGTGCCCGCCCGACCATCGGCGGACGGTTGGTTCGCCAGCCGCCGAGTGGGAGCGGGGCACGGCAACGATGACGACGACTCGCCGCCGACTCCTTGCAGCAGCAGCGTCGGGGCGGGGGGGACGGCGACGGAGAGTCCGGACCTCCTCCTCCTCGCAGCGTCCCGGTCTGCCGGTAGATTAAGGGACCCCGCGAAAATTGGCGGCGGTGCCGACCCCCTCCTAGGACCGTGCTCGCTAGGCGCGAGCGGGCGCCGGGCTAGCTATAAAGGCGCCCACCGCGGGGGGGGGTCTGGGAGGGGCGAGGGGCGTGCGGCGGCCATGTCGCGGTCCACGAGTGCCCCATCTCGTAGCGGCGGAGGCGTTTCGGCGGCTTATGGGGGCACCGCTGTTGATGCTGGCGGGGTCCGCAGCAGCAACTGGGGGCCGTTGGAGGCGGCGAACAGCAGTGGCCGGCGGGATGCAGCGAGGGGTGGGAGGAGGGCTGCGGGATTAGTTGGTGACACGCTGAGACGAGGGCCTCGTTCGGGGAGGCGCGACTTGGCCGTGGAAGATCCGGGTGGGTGTGAGACGAGTGGTAGTTTGGTTGACTTCGCCTGCTACGAAAAGTGCAAAGCGAGCCAGGAGGGGGGGGGGGGAGGGTGTTGACGAGTGGTGAGCCACACATCACCGTGTTGGGTATTGAGCCCAATATGTGTTGCTCTTTTTTAGGTGTGGGAAAGATGGTTGAACTGCCCGTTTTTGACGTGGTCCATACTGGCACTACTCCGTTGCAGTGGCCCAGAGTGATACCTGCAGAATTTATCGTCGAACGTTTGCTCGTAGAGGGCAGCAGCGACAGGTGTTTTGCCCCCTGGTGGAGCATTGGCCAGTGTAGGACAAACTCAGTTTGCGGCTATGGTTTGGCCTAGGGTCATATTGCGCGGGGGGTTAGCCTAGCGTCTTGCGCTGGCCTGGGGAATCCCAACACATGACGCCTCTGCTCTCTTTATTTTTCAGTGCGTCACTAGCCCGGCGTGGCCAGAAGCTGTTCATGTTTTCCTCACCAACCGCACCGTCGCACTTCCACCATTGTCTTCTCCCCGCCGCCCTCGTTATTGGAAGCAGCGGGAACTTTTCCTCTACGAGCCCTGGAGGTGATATCACCAGACGAAATCGAAACAACGCCGCCCGTCCCAGCTCCCAAGAAGCGCCTCAAGGCTCGAAAACTGGCGGCAGTGGCCGCGGCGGCGACAGCGGCGGCGGAGGGTAAGCCGGCCGCTGGAAAGTCGACCCCACCGGCGATACCGGACAACAGGGAGGAGGAGAGGGGCGGGGGCGAGGAGGACAGGCCGGGGGAAGCGGGCGAAAGAGGGCGGGGCGGCACACTGGAGGAAGACGAGGAGAGGGGGGAGGTGATGGAGGGAGAGGGGCAAGGCAGCATTTTTGAGGGCGACGGCAAGGAGGAGGAGGAGGAATTGGCGGAGGAAGAGGGGCAGGGCGGCCAGGCGGAGAAACACGGGAAGGGGGACGAGGAGAGGGAGGAGGAGAAGGACGTAAAAGAGGAGGAGCAGGAACGCGAGGAGAGAGAAGACGAGGAGAAGGGGCAGGAACTCATGATGGAGAGAGCAGTGGAGATGGAGGAGGAGGACGAGGAGGAGGATCACACGAAGGGAGACGTGGCAGAGGAGGAGCAGGAATGCGAGGAGAGAGAAGCGGAGGAGGACGAGGAGGAGGAGGAGAACGAGGAGGAGGAGGAGGAGGACGAGGAGGAGGAAGAAGATGCCGAATCTGCCACCCTTACGGACACAGACATCGACACCGAGACGGAGACGGAAGAACCTGCAGCAGCCGCTTTCGCGCCCGCTGCCGAAGGCCAGCCTCGACCGCACGGGAGCCAGCAGCGCAGGGAGCATCAACACGATGTTGTGGCAGAGGGGGGCGGAGGTGCAGCAGCGCCGACAACGGCGTCGCCGACGGCCACTGAGGTGCCGGGGGCAGGTCTTGAGTCGGGTGGAAGAGGTGCATCGGCTGCAAGGTTGGTTTCGGAGGGCAGCAGCTCGATAGTGGGCGTCGGCCCCTCTGCTGCAGCTCTTGCGAGCACCCGTTCCCGAGGAGCTCTTCCCCGGCCGCCTGTACAGGTATGAACCACAGCCGTCGCCGTCGCCGCCGCCGCCGCCGCCGCCGCCGCCGCCGGTGCTGTTGCCATGGTGGAGGGTCCTTTCCTGGCGCGTTTTTGGCATCACTGCTGATGCTTGTTTTTTTTTTGTGGCGTGTCGTGTTCTGCGTCGCTTTTGAGGTGCGGCTCCTTTTGCGTGCGCTCCAACCGGATGGTGTGCTGTACCAGCGACGGATGAAGAGTACAAGCATGACTCCTTGTGGGGGAAGCAAATCAACTCTTCTTTCTCCAAGAAGGATATAAATAGCTGGATGTAGTATTACCGTAAATGGTGGTGGTTCGGTGTCGTGGGTGACAAGTGACTCTGTTGGAGGTGCCCGGGGCGCTTCATGGATCACCTGAAAGTGTGCACTCTTTTTGGGGTAGGTGTCCCGTGCCAATGAAGGCGCCTGCTTCAGTTGGGCCGGTACCGGCGTTGGAGGGTACTCACCAGAGTCAGGATCGTTTGCTTTTGTGTGGGGATAACGGCAACAAGAACGACGATGAAAGAAACAAACAAAAACTGTTTCTGCGAGGAAAAACTGTGCTTGGCGGATTCGACTTGCCCTGGCGACCGCCAGCCGTCGTGTGCTGGGAATACCTTGCAGGCGCATGCCACCCTTTGCCTGATTTCATCGACGTTATCTTTCTCTCTGCGCGTGCTTGATGTCTGCGCACTGCCGCGCACGCAGTGTGCCGGTGGCCTGTTTTATTTTTGGCACCAAGCTAGGGTTCAGCAGAGGCTGGCTCGAAGGAGGCGGGAGCGGGCGCATGCATCGTGGCTTGGGGCACGGGTGCGATGGAACAAGGTACTGTAGGAGTCTTGCTCTCCCTCTTGAACCAATTGACAGCAAGAATCATCTCAAGATCAGAATTCGATGTTTTTCTGTGTCACACACAACCCAAAAGTATGTACTGTAAATTGGTTTGGTTCGGTGCTCGTGACGTTTCACACAACTGCGGCGCTGAGACGTGTACAGCATACGCCAGCGTTGAGAAACTCTGCGCCCCGACCGACCCCGCCGGTCCCGTCGTCTCCCGTGATTGTATCCTCCCAACGGTATCCCTCGGTGCACAGCTCGATATTTACACTGTCTTGTTGAAATCGTCGGGGTCACTGCCTCCCTCTCGCGCCACCTACGCCTTTTATTTTCTCCGACGAGGGCTGCTTGGGGCTCGATTGCTAAAATTCGGCAGGTTCCCCCGCGTCGTCGTAGTCTTTCGTAGTGGAGTACTGTAGCGTTGTTGATTACTTGCACGTGTCCGCCGATCCCTGTTGCTGATGGTTGCCCGTCTATAGTGACCACGGGCCCGAGTCCCATGCGCGTAGGCGCACGTTGTCCCCGCCGCACCCCCGTCCCTTGCATAACCTACCAAGCAACAACGGGCCCGCGGCCCTGAGATTATGTTGACACTCCCCCCCCGGTCGACGTCGATCCATGGTCAACACCCCCCCTCCCCTCTCCCCAAACCGCCCTGGCTTTCCGTTCTATGATCAGGCGAGAAAACGAAGAGGAACTAAGCTTCTCGCCCTGCTACAACGGGCCAAGAACACCGGGGCTCCGCTGGGGGGTATCCTGCGTAAGCTGTCGGAGTTGCGAAGCCTGCAGTTTCGGCACGACCCTCGGCACAACCCCGGTGCCCGCAAGACGCAAGCCAGGGTCCCCGCCACCCCCCGGATCGCAGCCGAGGAGGAGACGGCGTGGGTCCGGCAGATGTTCTCCGATCTGAGGAGGGGCGTGTCGGCCGGAGTCGGCGGTGATAGCGAGGCGCCTTCTTTCCCTTCCACCTCGCGCGGCGGCGGCAGTGGCGGCAGCAGCGGTGGCGGTGGCGGTGGCGGTGGCGGTGGCGGTGGCGGTGACGGTGGCGGTGACAGTGGCGGTGGCGGTAGCGGTGGCGGTGACAGTGGCGGTGGCGGTAGCGGTGGCGGTGGCGGTGGCAGTGGCAGTGGCGGTAGTATTGACGCGGGTTCGTCTGCGCCCGTTGGCGAGCGTCGCGGCCGGCTGATACGCTCCGGCACCCCGGAGCTCCGCGAAGCCTCTAGCTCTACGCCGACCCCGGTAGAAGTGCCGGGTCCGTCGTTGGCACTCGGGCAGGGGAGGCGGCGGCGGCGGTCTGCGACGGTCGGTGGAGGGGACGCTACGTGTCTCCAACCCCCGGCCAAGCGCCGTGCCGGTGCCAAGACTTCTGCGGCGGCGACCCCCCCGGTCGGTCTAGGACCTGTTGCCGGCTTTACCGGTCCAGACTATGGCGGTGGGAGCGGTGACGATAGCGCCCATCGCCCAGCCACAGCAGCACCAGCACCAGCAGGTGTTGCCGGGGCGACCGTGAAGGCGGTCAAGCCGGCCTTGGCAGAGGTCTACTTGTCGCCGGCGCGCGTGAAGTCGCCGATCAGCGGTTGCTACGGAGCGGCGACGTCGTCGTCCTCCGGTCGACGCCATCTCCACCACCTCCAGAGGGCATCCACCGTTCCGTCTCCAACCCGCACCGTCACCCTCTCCTCCGCGATCAGCGCCGAAACCGTGTCTGTCTGCGCTTCTGCAGGTGCGATCAGCCCTACTAGCAGAGCTCGCGCTGCTGGTTCTCGGCGCTCTTCGTCGATGGCGGTAGGAGCTAGCGGCGATGGCGGAGGCGCCGTATTCCCGGAAGCCAGGGATTGTACCCGTGACCGCTGCCAAAAGGCAACCGCCGATCAGCTGAACGACCCGGTCTTCCGCGGAAGGATGAAGGTGAGAACAAGGGCCGCGAATGCAGCAGCCGCCGCGGCAGCGAGCACCTGCGGCAACACCGTCAGTGGGAATGGCGGTGGTTCCGCACTAACAGGCGCAAGGTGTCAACCCGACAGGAGAATCCATCAGGCCGGGTGGGTGGACGACGTCGGTCGAGGGCAGCAGGGGAAACGCGGCCGCGGCGGTGTCGAACAGCGCCAAGCAGCTGGGTTCAACGGGTGGATGTCGTCTCGACGGCAGGATTGGGGCCTGGATGACGTCGGCCTCCCGGCCGCACAGTCCCGCGGCGCCGCATCCTCGGCATCTTCCCGGCGTCTTCCGCGCTCCAAAACTGCGCCTCCGCCTTCCAAGTCGGGAGGAGGAGCAGCATCGCCACCGCCGCCACCGCTGCCACCCGCCTCTGCGGCTAGAGCGAAACCGACTGCGGAATGTTTTACTGGTCCTTCGCTAGGAGGCAAGAGCGGCGGAGCGAGAGCATCAGCGGCAATCGGTTCCGCCCGCAGCAGGGGCACGAAGAGGGGGGCTGACGGTGGCAGTAGTGGCGGCGGCGGCGATGGTGGCAGCGGTGGCGGGTGTGACGGCGGCACTAGGCCGCGGAGTGTTGGCGTCGGGCCGCGGTCGCACGCGAAAAAGAAGAGTCGAGGTAACAAGGAGGGCGTACGAGAGGATGCAGGGGCTGTGGCAGCGGTACCGGCTGTGCCGGCTGCCCCGGCGGGTTCAGCGGACAGGACACGGGCTGACAAGACTTTGACGTCGTCGCCCTCTCCCGGGCCGCGGCAGAAGACCAGTGGGTCCGTTCGGTGCCGTGAGGTATCGCACGAAGGAGGACGCGGAATACCGGCAAAGAAGTGCTGCCGTCAGCAGCGCGCTACAAGCTCAGCAGCGGCGATGGCGGTGTCACCCGTCACGTCTGCGGCACGCCAGCACCACCGAAGCCGCGGTCCTAGAGGAGAGAAGATGCTCCGACAAGCAAGCGTCCAGGCGGCAGGCACCGCCGCCGCCGCTCCCACTCCCACCGCAGAGAATGTTCGAGATTCTCCCGCCGCGGCCGCGGCCGCCGCCGCCGGCAGAAGTGGGCCCTTGTTCGGGCTGAGCTTGGTGCTGGTAGGGCTCCCCGACGACGTCCACCGGGACGTCGAGCGCACGATTGTCGCTGGCGGCGGCCGAGTCTTGGACGACATGCCGCCGCCGAAAACACGGGGGGGGCTTGCGTTGCGACCACCCGCCGCCGGTGCAGAGGCTGCCGCGGCCGCGGCCGATGCCTCTCGCCGGGGACGGAAGAGGGACAAAGTCACCACGGCGGCGGCGGCGGAGGAAAAAGAAGATGTCGTGGTTGTCGTGTCCGTGCCGTCGGCGTTTCGATTGCCGAGGTACGTGCTCGCCATCGCAACGGGGACCCCGCTGCTCCACCACCTCTGGGTCAGCGACAGTGCGGCGGAAGCGCGGCCCCTGCCGGCCTCGCCGTACCTCCTGCCGGGGGCGCGGGAGGCTTCCAGGAGGCGGCAAGCCGCTTCTTCGGCCGGCGCCGCCGCTGTAGGCACGACGACGGCGACGGCAAAGGCCGGCGGCAGCCACAAGGTGTCGCGCGCGGCCCTGGCGAAAGCGGTCTCCAAGACGGGAACCCCGCTATTGGGGATGGCCATCGGAGTCGCCCACCCGTCCCCGACGACGTGCGAGCGCTGGGCGCAGGTCCTCAGGGCTGCCGGGGCGCAGACGGTGCTGCGGATCACCGGTGATCCCCTCCTCCTTCTTCCCCCCCAGGAGAAGACCGCCGACTGGACGACAAGTAGTCCGTCGAGGGGCACCCGGTCCTGCAGCCGAGGGAGGAGGACGGCGGGGGCGTCGTCATCGTCGTCGTCGTCGCTACAGGCGGGGCAGCTGGCGGGCCTTGACTGCGTGCTGTGCGATTTTCCGGGCGCATGGAACGGTTCAGGCGGCGGCGACGACACCGAGTGTCGTGCTGCCACCGGGCGGCGACCGGTAAGGGGCAACGGCGGCGTCCCCGCGATCGCAGGCACCGCCACCAAGAAGGCCAAGTCTTCGCCGCCCCCTTTCTCTTCGCTTGGGCTCGTGTTTGAGGCCGCTAAGCTTGAGGGGGTGCCCGTGGTCGCGCTATCCTGGGCGATGGATTGTGTGGTCCGGGGCACCCGAGTGAGGCAGCAGGCGCGCCCGGAGTACCTGACGCCGTTCCTGGATGCTTCGGTGGCGGCAGGTCGGCCGTCCTCGCGGTCGCAGTCGCTCGCGGGGGGTACCGATACCCGCTTACTTGTGGCCGTGTCGCGGAGCGGCACTCGCTATGAGGTCGGCGACCACGTCTACTTTTCTGCGGCTGGAAGCGGGAGGGGCGGAGGCGGCTGTACCGGCGGCGGAGGAAGTGGCGTGCCTAGCGGCGGGGACGAACGGCGCCAGCAGCAAGCGGAGGTGGGGCGCATCGTTCACCTGGAGCGAGCCGGGGGTAGCGGCGGCCGAGTGTTCGCGACGATCGAGCCGCTGCAGATACCCGACAACAAGCGCGCGGTTGTTTCGTCCCTCGGTGACAGCGGCGGCAGGGCCGCCGGCGGCGGGAGCGGCGCATTGGGCAGAAGCTTTCTGCAAGTCGTCGTTCGCGGGGGTGGTGGTTATTTCGCGAGCCCGTCGGCGGACAGCTCCGTCTCCAGGGGCAGGGCGAGGCGCGCGAGAGAGCTCAAGAAGGTCGTGCTCGCGGAGAAGAAAGGAAGCACAGCCGCCGGCGCTGGTACGCGCACCCCCGGCAGCCAGAACTGGCAGAAGGTGGAGGTTTCCGACGCGTTCCTGCTGGGAAGGGTGTCGGTGCTCTCGGCGCGGGAGTTCAACTCACGGCGGGGGTACTGCGGCCGGGACCCAGACGTGTACGTCCAGCAGCAGCGGGTGCCCACGGCCCGGGGTCCCCCCACCTTGCGGACGGGAAAGTAAGGAGGCAGAGACTACTTGCTGTTCGCCGTGCACTGTTGTAGGTATGGAGTATGCCGCTGCTAGGAACGTGCTTACTTCTCGTGGTGTTGTTGTTTGTGTGTAGGTGTTGTGGTGTTTGTTTGACGTACGTGTTCATGTGGTCGCCCACGGGGCATAGATAAGCCCGGAGGAGGCGGGCGATTTGAGAGAGGCATTTCGGCAGTGCTACCAGTAACTGATTCGGTACGATCTTTGAAGGGTACCCATGTATCTATGGAGTCTGCCGCTGCAGGAATGTATCTGCCGAAGGCTTCAGGCCGCCCTTTTTTTTTTTTTCATTCTGCCGTTGTCATCTTGCGCGTGCTGTGCCTGGCTGTGGTGCCCTCGTTGAAAATATTTGGAAGGACCAAACTACTCCGTATCTGTGCCATGAGGCTAACGAATCTGTTGCGATACTTGTAGCGCAAGGGACTCGGGAAGGGGCACGCTGTAGTGTAACACAACTGTAGTATCCGCACTTTTTTTTCCTCGGGGTCACCTCATCTTAACGTCATGAGGTAGGTCAACAATATTCGTGGGATCACACAGCAGTCACCATTCTTGGCACACGGCAATCATGAATCACCGGCTCCATGACGGTGTAGCCCAGGTCTGGTGTGGTGACAGCACACACGCCCTGCAGATGCAGCACAGACATTTAATGCCATATTCATCACAGGCGTGCCAGCTGGAGTGGCTCCCAGTGAGTGCGGTCCATTCAATCTTCGAGCCGCTCGCTTTGAATATGGACATGCACTTGTTTGGCCCGCCTGATTTCTTTGGTCACCTTTCTTGTTTCCTTGAATGTTTCATGCGACAAACTCAGATTGCATTGCTTGTCTCACTGCCGACCAAGGGCCGGAGCAAAAGAAAATCACCACAACACTCTGGTAGCACAATAATCGGGTTGTACCTATTCTACAATCCATGCGCCCAAGCAAAAAGCAAGCCAACTGCGCGTGACCCCTGCGCTTTGGCGAGTAATGCAGCATCAACCGGGCAGGCAGGAGCCCGCAGACACGCCCCCCACAATCCTTGAGATATAATCAAGAACAGACGCAAGCTGCAACCAAAATGCTCCTCTCGCCGCAACCCTGCTCAGCGAAAAGCGAGGGATGCAAAAAAAAACACACCTGCCCGATTGGCCCGAAATAAAAAGCACGCAAACCGGGCTAGCAGGGAAAAAGTCGTTGATCGCGGAAACAATCTAGTTGTACATGGGCTCGAGTTTTTGCCGTTCATGGAAATCCACCATCGGGGATAGGCAACAAGGACCTCCAAATACGAAGTACATAGTCTAGTAATCCGTGCCACTTTCGTCGAAAACAAGCCCACTACTTGATCCAAGCCATAGGTGTACAACTGTTCTGTTTCCACGACGGTAAACCGCATCATCTAAGGCGGGGCAAAGGGTCGGATGATCCGACACCTCGCGCAACGCCTTCGAGAGCAAGTTTACTGCCAAGAAAAAAAACAATAACCTGCTACCGCTCCAGGTGCCGGTGGAGGAGCCCTGTCCCCCCCCCCCCCCCCCCGGACATGCCGTTCGATCCCTTGGCGGCACTGCTACCATCTCCCTCTCCCTCCGTCTTCTTCGACCCTTTCTTGGGTTTTCCCCGCCCGGTCTTCTTGCCCGGCCCTGAGCGATTGTCCTCCTCCTCCTCCTCCTCCTGCGGCGACGGCTCTGAGGGTTGCCACCTGCCTCCTGCTGCGACGGTCCTGAGGGATTGTCGGCCGCCTCCTGCTGGGGCGGCCCCGAGAGGTTGCAGCCCGCCTCCTTCTCCTCGTCGTCGTCGTCGTCCCCGATGTCTCCCTTGAGTTTCTTCTTGGTGGCCTTCCAATGGGCGAAGTGTGGGCCTAGCTTGGGTCCCTCGCCCCACACCCTGGTGGAACCCTCCGCTCCCTCGTCCATCTTGTATAGGACTCCCGTGATCCTGCGCCCAGTACAAATCATGACGACATTCTGAACCGTCAGGAGGCCAGATCCGAGGGCGTCGGTGTTCTCCTTGACGTTGTTCAGCTTGGCCGTGAGGTCCCCCATAGCCTCCTCGGTCTCCTGCTGTAATCTGGCCATCTCCTCACGAAGCTTGGCCTGCCCCATCTCCAGCTGCTCGGTGCCGGAGCGGAATATCTCGTCCATCACCGCCTTCTCCATGGCAGTAGGCATGTCGGCAGCTTGCTTTGTCAGCTGGAGGACGTCTGCGCGAACGGAGGCGATGGTGGCAGGCGTGTCACCAAGCTCGTCTTCCACGCGACCGAGAAGCCTGGCCTCCACGCCGTCGAGCTTCTTCTGCCACTTGCCGTCCTTGGCCTCCCGGTTCTCCCGGACCTTCTGCCGATGGCGAGCAGCGTCTCCTTTCCAGAGTCCTCGGTGGCCGTCTTGACCAATAGCTCGGCCATTCCCCTCTCCTCCTCGAGATGGTACAGGGAAAAGAGCTCCGTCTTCTTCTGAGACGCGGCGACGGGGGTGGCGGTGGCAATCTCTGCCTCCCTTCGCCACCTGCCCCTCTCCTCCCTGCGTTGGCTCTGCATCCCCCTTCTCCGAGGCCGTGACGGCGCCGGCGAGGGCACTGTCTATTGCGGCGGAAAGCAATCCCCTGAAACAACCCACGTCGTTCTTCTCCATTCCCGTCACGCCGTCGGAGAGGCCGTCGCAAGCCAGCCACATCTTCTCGAACCAGGGGGCGACTTGCACGTCCTGGGAGCCCAACTGGTGAGCGCCCACGGACATCAAACTCAAACTCGACAACGTTGATATTACGGGCAGACCCACACCGCCTCTTCTTACCCTTATCGCTGTGGTTGGACAGGGCCACGGCAAGCAGCCGCAAACGCCGGCAGAGGATGATGAGCAGCCACGAGCAGCTTAGCTCGCCGCACAGCGCCACCATCGAACAGAACCTAAGCCAGCTCGCCGTCGGGAGACCGAGAGTGCTCTGACGGGCAAACAGTCCCTTGACGCTCGGGAAGGGAGGCACATAATCGGTGAGCCTTTATCCAGGAGAACAGGGGGTCACGGCGGACAAGATCGGGAGGAAGGGGAGGTGTCATCGCAAGTCCTGGATCCTGGATATCGAACAGCCATCATGCACGTTGAAGCAATTTCCACGCCGATGACATCAGCAGCAAGTCCAGTCACGGTCGAATATGACAACGCGCATCGATGAAAGGTCAATTAACAAACGGCGACCTTCATGCATGCGCGATTCCACGCACAGCATTTGTGCGTACCCAGCTTACGAACACGCTGTGCCACACGTCAACCTACAGAAGGTGGCAAGAAAAATGTAGAGCTGCCGAGAACAGTGACACTATTGAAAGCAGAACTCCCGTGATGGCAGGTATGCTCATCCCTGAATGATGGTTCAGCACTAACTTCACGTAAATCGCGGGTAACGTCGACAACAGTGGCATGGCTCTCGCCACCCACCCAATAGTTTGGCACACGCGATGCGCTCTGAGCTGACGGAGAAACTTGTTGTCCGAAGCAGGACTTTCCACAGAAAACTGCCGTGCACAATAGAGCATGACCGTAGAGTACCTGAAAAGGTATGACAGCAGGAACGATGTAGTTCCACGAAGGCCACTCCGCCTTTTGGACCAAGAACATGAGACTCTAGAACCCGAACTGATACTAAAAAAGGGCGGAGTCGGAGGGGCAGGGAGTGGGAGGGTTAGCTGAGCGGAAACGCTACCAAGGCGTGGTGCAGTCCTCGTCTGTCTCTGTCACGAGACGATACGTGAGTACGTATTCGACAGCAGTTCTGGGCAAAAATGTCATCCGTGTCTACGATGCTCCGGACATTTTTCGCTTGTTTAGAGCGCCCCCTCCGCCGTTCAACAAACTCGAATCACTGGGGGGAGATGTACAACGCGAATATCCCGGCGCTCACGTGCTTCGTGTCGTCCGCAACGTCCACCATCGAATCCCGCTCGGTCTCCCACTCGCGCACGATGCGGTGTAGTTGGGATACTTGCCCGAGAATGTTAGTCTCGGCCAGAAAAGCGCGGTGTCGTTAAAATGCGTTAGCTACGACACCACCGAGGTGGTGCTGCGGCCGCGTTCATGAGCGTATCTCGGTAACCACATGTTGGTTCGGCAGAATGATGGTCTGCGCGACAGGTGGGGGCCGTGGAAACACAGTAAAGATGGTTAGTGCCCATTGGAGATGCTTCGGAAAGAATCGCGCGGTGTTGTAATTTTGAGCCATATCTCGGCAACCACCGGTCACCACGGGACGAACAAGGGCTTGCTCGAGAGCTGAAAGCCTTAGGAACGCAGAGAGTGCTACTCCGAGCATTTTGTTTGGTGTCGTGAAAATGTTTTGCGAGAAATACCGTTTTTGCAAATCAATCCATCAGTGCAAAGGTGTGCGGTGTCTTCAACGCGAGACATCGCCACATTTCCCCCCTTGCACGTACGTACGGGCATACGTCCGCCCACTCGCTGGCCGAATTGGGAACGAAACCCTAGCCCTAGTCTGGCTGTGGCTGCTGTGGGACCCCATTAGTACAGGACAACCACACGTGGTGGTGGGTCCTGCGCTGTGCAGGCGAAGGCCCAATAGGCGTTTTTTTCTGGCTCCAACAACTCCGCCGCGGCGGCGCGGTCTCTTGCAGAAACTTGTACTCGGAGTTTTCAAATACAGGCCGGCACTCTTGGATTCCTGCGAAAATACGCGTGAGGAATCCAAACACGGATTTTATATCGGGAGGGTGGCATGTCAAATAACGACTCGACAGGTAACTTTGTCCGGTGCGTAACCTAGCGACTCATGCGACTTAACGTATGACTACGCCACCGACCGTTGAGCCCCCGAGCCCCCGTGTGTAGGCGTTTCTCTGGGCCTACCGATCCAAAGTACGTCCTCGATGGCTTGAAAGTCTGCTGTGAGCCGTGCCAACGCAATGCATGTCTTCGTAGGGCAAAGGGCGCCCTGTAGATATAGTTTGGCGTGGTGGAGCAGATATGGCCTATCTGCTCCACCGGCCTTTGAGCCCCCGAGGCCCCGTGGGTGGGTTTATCTCTGCACCCACTTATCCGATTGGCGTGTCCAACGGCTTGTATGATAACTGTGAGCCGTGCCAACACAATGCAAGTCTTCGTAGGGCAAGCGACGCCCTGTAGACAGAGTTTGGCCTGGTGGAGAGATATGGCCTATCTGCTTCATCGGCCATTGAGCCACTGAGCCCACGTTGGCGGGCGTTTCTCTGCGCCTATAGGTCCGACTGGGGTGTCCGACGGCTTGAATGATATCTGTGACCTGTGCAACCAGGGTGGGGGTAGAGTTAGGGGCGGTTCAGCTTTTCGGGAGGTATGCGGGACTAATGACATCCCCCCCTCCTAGGTGCCCCCTTCCCGGTGTTTGCCATCGGGGTTGGGTTGTCGTCGCTTGACAACGACGTTGTAAAACAAGCCGCCCCCCTCGCATCGGGGTTGGGTTTTCTTCGCTTGGCAACGACGTTGTCAAACATCCCCCCCCCCCCCC